GTCGCTATACCCCTGAGAATCATCCAACCATCCGTTTGGGGGGCAATGGAGGACCCTTTGTTTGTTTTATCCATCAGCGAACGGCCAAAAACAAAACATAACGAACGATCGCAAGCCGCTAGCGAAGTCTGCCAAAGATGACGGTGCCGGTATGAGATTTGACATTTCTGGGGCCTGAGCTGGAGCCCTTTAACTGTTTCAGCTCAAGCAATTGGTTACCGCAGAAGTGCAGCTCCTTCAATTTGTAAATTTTGTGCCAGACTTCGAACAAAACATTGTCCAGTAGTGACCGTCTTCTTTTCCCTGCAGGTCCTTGGGTAATGAACTTGTGAGCATATACTTTCGTTCGCCCCTTGCTTTATGGCTTTAGTTCAACATCAGAAGGTACAAGGGTCTCGGGGTTTAAACAAGACAGGGGAGACGGGGGAAAACAATTCCACCAATTCAGCAAATGGACAGCTCCGTACGTCTCCGATCTCCTGCGAGGTGAAGAGCCGCGGAAATCTCGCCTAAGGCTTGCGAGCCCTCGAGGGGCTCGACTCGTTCAAGCCAGGTCCCAGGTCTGTCCTTTGACTCACAAGGTACGGTGTCCTTTTAGGCCAAATAGATGACCCTGGTAGATGACTAAACCACCAGGTAGGCCAGGGCCATCTATTTTTCTACCAGAACAACCAAAAAGGACACCTATGCTCACAAGGTACTTGCACCCAAGGCAAAAGTAGCTCCCTTGAGGTTGGCGAACGCCCAGAAGAGGATCGCTAGACTTTGGGGCACTCGATTGACCAAGGCAGCTGAGAAAAACACGCTGCACAACTCACCTTGTGGAATCCTCTTGACCGACAAAGGCAAACATCCGGTGTGAACGGTTTCTGTGGCACAAAACATAAGCAAGAAACTCTCTAAGCTCTGTTGCACCCCCTGTCCAATGAAAAACACACCAGAACCACAAGGAACAGCAAAGGCTGCCCCACAAAAGGTTTGGGTTCGGGCAATCAAATGGAAATTCTAGACGTGGGGCCGCTAACCTGAGGAGTTGGCTCTTCTAACATTCACACACCTGAAGTAAAGAATGCGTCCTGGAAGCTCATTGCGAGCTTTGCGCAGAACATGACTCCTCGAGAAGCGATCTGTTTTCAGATTCACGGTGCTGTCTGTGGGAAACCCTATTGGAGTCTAAGAAGCCCAGGTCGTTCCATATCTGGCGAGACAAACACAGCGGCCTACCGGGGTGCAGAAAAAAAAGAGAAAAAACGCCGCTGGACCCACTGGTGAAATTGGCCACGTCCGGCTAAGTGGACTGGAGGCAAATCGCACCCTCAGGTGGCTTGCGTGTCGCAATCATAGACTCCCTTCAAACTAAGCTTATCAACCAACGGATACTATGATTTGAAAGGAGAGTATATTTGGGAGGCATAGTCACTTCCCAGGCACATGGCTTCCGCGGCAACTCAGGCAATTACCTCGCAAAATGCGTGCGCTGGCATTCCCAGGGTCACCGAGTTCCTCATTTACAGTGGTCAAAGCTCCCCATGCCGGTCATGGTCGTGATGACCACTTAGTGCTTTGCCCATTGCACGTGTGGTCCCTTGGAACGTCACCCTAGTACAAAGAAATATATGCTGATGGCGAACACGATTTTCAAGCTGACCCAAAAAGGAATAGAAAGATCACTCATTCACTTCTCCTTCATCCAAGTCGCATCCCAGTACATGCCGTTGAGGATCACAGTGGCATACGGAAGGATTACATCCTAACCCGGGCAGTGAGATTCAAAGCATGCCGGCTTGCAAAATATGTGTTCAAAGCATCGCTTAAAGCTGCCCGCTAGCACAAAAGCCTGCCAAATGAAGGGCATTCAATTATGGCACGAATAACAACGCAGTAGTGGGTCAAGAAATCGCCATGCTCATCCTTCAATGCACGTGGCAGCGTTTGAAACAAACAAATCGGCGTATGCGTGTGTGTGTGTGTGTTGTGTGAGAGCGCGTGCGCTCTAGGAAACCAACATGGAACCAAGCACCTTTAGGATCCACACTATCAACGGGAAAAACAACATGCCATGCTTGGAAGCAAACCGGCTAATCGTAAGCCGTCTCCTGAAACTTGGGCTCGTAGTCGTCGGGTTGGTTGTAGTAGCCTCAGGGCGCTGGCCAACATACCTTCTGTGAACTACCAGCCCCCCAGAACCCCTCCTCCAAGAGCTGAGGGCTTCAGCCGTACCAAGACCAATTCTGAGATGCCAATTCTGTTGAAAGGAATTGCCCAGTACCAAACCCCGTTGGCAAACTCGCTGACGGAAAGAATCACACTGCTGGCTGATGACTGATATGCTGAGATTTCCGCCAAAGCCGGCGTACAGCCAGCGTCTATTCTTCGGCCGTTGGTTTGATGTCTTGAAGAAGGGCAATGTATGGCAACCTTACCCTAACAGGGAAAGCAGCCAACCACAAGCTCCCCGTCAGCGCAAACAAGAGACTATTTTTGTGACTGCCCCTTCCAACGTCTTACAACATGGATTGATGAGCAAATAATTGGCATTATATGATGTTAGGAATCAGGACCCATGTGTCGCAAAATCGCAGAACTTGCCAAACTTAAAAAACTTTGTATGAGAAGGCAGCCGAGTGCAAGTGCAGTGGCAATCAGCGGTTCAGCCATTTGAGCGGTCTGAAGGTCTGCCAAGTGAAGTCAAAAGGCCTATCCGGCCAATGATGTTGGAAGGTTGAAGGCCTTCCTTGATTCTTAGCATTCTTCAAGGACTGCAATTGCACATCTTAGGATCTTAGGGTGGATGCCTAATACTTCCAACATGTACAAGCCATAAAGACTCTACCTAGGCGGCATGCAGCCAGAAAGGAGTGTCGTGATTCTCAATCACAAGGCATTGGCGTTTCACAAAAGCACCTGCCTATGTACAATCGTCGTTGAATCTTCTAGAACACCCTATGAAGACTTCGCTCACATCTCCACACCGGTTCTCGATGGCTTCCAAGTAAAATGCATACTGAGGATCCATGGGTTCCGCGCCCCGCCCGCCGGGCTGCTTTGGGGGTCCCTTTGTATCCTCAGCCAAATGCCGAACCTATGGGGACAGAGTTCCATGCTTGGCTACCCAAGAAAAACTTGAATCCAGGGAGCCCCCTTTTGGGGACATCAACCCCTGAGTTCAAGTCTACATTGGTGTAATGTTGACCCCATATTAATCAACGTCACTGTATTAGTTCCCCTCCAACTGTGATGATTCCCCACTAAACCCAGGGACATCCCCCTACTACCCCATGTCCCATGTCGCCACCAGGTTCCGGCGCCCTGCTTGTCAAAAGCTCCACCATCCCGTCGCCTCAAACCGTGAGGCGCTTTGGGGAGGTGTCCCGTTTTTTTTTGGGGGGGGGTGATTGATTTGTTTCCTTTTTTTGCTTCGTTTTCTGAAGGACAAAAGGACACCTCAACGGCGGGGCAAGGACATAACCAGGGGCCAACATGCGAAAGCAGCCCGCAAAAAGATCAATCCGTCATACTGGTGATGATTGGAGCCACTTTGAAACAAAGGACATCTATTTGCAACCAAACTGACCAGAAAGGACAGCTGCAATTCGTTTGGAACGGAGCCCAACGCAATGTATCTCGCACAACTGCAAGTCCAAGGGTTGAGACTGGAGCGACAAGGGCTCACAGTCTGTAAGCGACGACGGAACCACAATGCCCCGGGAAAGCTGCCAGAAGCAAATACTGGGTTTCCAACTTGCCCTCAAATTCCCAGAAAGAATGCCAAATGGATATGCCTCAACTGCAACCAACAATATACAAAACTCGATCAGTTGCCCAAAGACCTGGAAACAAAAGGTGATCACCTTTGGGGACTAATGGGAACCCAATCAGGGAAGCCAAAAGTTCCAAAGGTCGATTCGCTTTGGTAGTGAGACAAGGAGCCGTGCTCCGGTTCACGGCCGTGCATTCCGAAAAACCGCCGAGCCGTGAAGCCGCCTTACCATGTCCTCCGCAGAGGCAATGGACAAGTAGAGCTTGTGGCAATCCTGCCATCAAACAAACAAATCCACCGGGCCGGACGCCAAAAAGCAACAAGAAACATCCGAGAAACTTCTAGGAAGCAAGTTCCAGGAAAATCTCCAGCAAACTTCCAACTCGGTTTGTCAAAGTCGGCCAACTTCCTGAAGATCTTGCTGGAGCTTGCTTCTTAGATACGACTGGAAAGACGCATATTGCCGGTGTTTCACGTGGCTGCACTCAATGCTTTCGAAGCCTTGTCCACTAAAAAAAACAAGGCCTCCCCAGCAAAGACTCAGAAAGAACCTCCTTCCAGGTGTTCATTGAGGAGTTCTGAATGAAACTTTTGGGGGGTAGAGACGGTAGAGATATTGGTCCCGTCAAAGTGGACCTTATTCAAACTTCGAAAGACTGACAGGGCGTCGAAAGCCTTTGGCCGTGCAGTGTGAGACAAGCTCGGAATTGGTGAACTCGTGTCTTCTGCAACATTTTGTCCAATTGGGATTTGGACCCCCCCAAACAACCACAAAAAAGGAGGCAGTGTGTCCTTTATGGCTGGCTTTCAAATCATCCGTAATTGAGGATACCCGCAAAATGACATCCTTTGGGTGTCGTGTTAAACAGCAACCACCAGGAATTTACCTGTTTGTCAGGGTCCCCCATTTTTTGGAGATACCCGCTTGCCTCACTGAAAAACCCGGTTCAAGCTAGATGTCCGGATGCCTGCTGCATTGACAAGTCCATATTCCGAGCTGTGGTTGTCCAGCAACCATGGCCATTAACTAAAAGCCTCCAACGCGCGACCTCCCCTGAAGTGTCATGGGCCTTCACTGAGTGGGTAAAAGCTTGAAGAGATGGAAGAACATTGGGAAACAAGCACGCTGCCAGGCTGTGTGTTTGCGTTGCGTGCTTGTGTGTTTGCTCTGTGGCTCTTTTGTGTCTGTCTTTAAGAGGTGGGCATGGTGGGGTTTCGCGTAAGGTGCAGACTACCTCCGCTAGAAGCTGTGGCGGCTGCCGTAGCCCTTCTGCGGCGCGGGGGCGCGCTTCTTCCACTGCCGGGGCCCGTCGAAGATGAGCATCTTGGCCTTGGTCCTGGCGCCATAGCCTCGGCTGCGTGTTGACAAACGGAGGCGACGAAAGGGCGGAGACCGATGCAGGGAAGGAGGACCATTACCAGCTAAACCCCCCGAAAAAAAAAGTAAAAATAAAAACACACACACACACACACTTGCACCAAAAGCGGGCGGGGAAGAGGCTTGAAGCGTAGGAGTTCTCAGCTGGACCCCCCAAAAGGGTACAGTAGCACGAAAAGCGGGTACGGAACAGACTTGAAGCGTCCGTGGACCGGGGAAAAGGAGGGGGAGAACGCCAAGCACTGCCAGGTCAGGACGCCAAAAGCAAAAGCTTGCGCGTTGCTCGCAATTGGAATAAGTTAAAGGGGCCCGGAGTTGGGGGATCCCTGTCGTAAGTGGGGAAACTTGGCCGGAGTCGGCAACGTATCTGTGGGACATAGAAACAAGGACACCCTTTCTAACTCGCTGGTGTTCAACAACGCGGCTGGAACCCCTAAAAGCATCAGCTGAGCCCACCACAAATTCAGAAAGTGCACGAGTAATTAGAAACTGCTGGGGAAACTAGGAATAAGCTGCGTGTCGGTGAGTAATCGCATATTTCGGTGGGTGTGCCCAATGTGAACCGCTTTACAGTCCTCAAAATAACGGGTCTCTCTGAAATCACGGGTTGTTTCATGGTGGTTTCCTTCCAACCCACAAAAGGGTCCCAACCTATTCGGGTGTCAAAGAAAATGCTGGTTTTCCTCTTGTGTTCCCCTGATTTTATTTTTTGTGTTATACTAAAAAACAAAAACAGGTACCCTCAACACACACACACCCACTTACACACTTACACACTTACACACTTACACACTTACACACTTACACACTTACACACTTACACACACACACGCGCGCACACACACAGACACACAGACACACAGACACACAGACACACAGACACACAGACACACAGACACACAGACACACAGACAGACACAGACACGCAGACACACAGACACACACACACACATGTACAACATAGGCACATGCTACATACATACATATATATATATATGACATTGAAAATGGAATATACATATATATATATAGACTTATATCACTTGTATCAGATATATCCCATTTCAAGAATCCCAGCGAGTCGCGCATCTGCCGTTCCTCCAACTTCTTCATGCGGGCCTCCTTGGACTCCCTGGCCTTGGCCTTCCGCAGCCAGGGCTTCTGCTTCAGCTTGTTCTTCTCCCGCAGCTTCTTCTCCTGGAGTTGCCAACGCCCAAAGCCCGAACCAAGCATCAGATCAACAAACACGCAACCAGAACAAACAAACAAGCAAACAAACAAGCAAACAAACAAGCAAAATTGCAAAAAAGCAAACAAACAAACCAAAATGAAAACAACCCAGCCGACCATTCAAACAAACAAAGAAAGAACAAGCAACCCAAAAAACAACTAGCTAACAAATCAACAAACACACACGCAAAGCAGCGAACCAACAACAAACAAATACAACCTGATTGTTGGGATAAGCGTGGGAGCAGACGAAACGACGGAACGTATCAGGCCACCAGGTCAGGCAAAGCTTGGGCTTAGGCTTACACGTCACACCGTTCGGAGGGGCTTGAAGGGGGCATGGCACCCAAACACTTTCATCAGAATCTCCTTTTGGCGACCCCCTTCTTTAGGGTGTGTTGACTTGGAGAGGAATGAGCCAGAGTACTAGGGCACCTACATTCCCACAAATGTTCAAAACACCTTCCCAAGGCTACTGCAAGCTTTCCGGATCTGAATGTTTTGCAGCCCGTTGACTTTGACTCGAAAAGGGAGGGGCCAAAAGGCAAGGGCTGAGAGTCGGCTTGCAAGTTATGTGTTTCAGGGGCCTCGCAGAAGCAACTCAGGAAGGGTCAGGCAACCATCAACCTTCTTGGAGTAAGGCGAAAGCAAAGTTGACTCTGCTCCTTGCAAGCCACAACTAAATACATATTGACGGATCCAAACGAGGTCCCTTGACCTTTATAATGGTGCTGGAGGTTGTCTCACCCCCTCTTTCAAGTTGCTATTTGCAACCAAGCTATTTAAATCAGCTGCCGACTGGACAGCATCACATCACCAAATTGGTGGCTCCCTCGGAGAGCTTCCTACAATCGCCTCAGCTGTCAGACCCTGAACCCCGAAAAGTTGTTTATTGGATCTCTGAGGGTTGTTTTGAACACACCCGCATCGCCGCACTCACCACACTTCTACGAAGCAGTCCCCACAAAAGGGACAATGGAACCAGAATCTCAGATGCCCAGTGGACTGCCATGGGCCCAAAAAAAGGCACCCTTTTTTGTTGGTACAGCTTAAAGGGAATCCCTTCCCCAAAAACAGTCGAAAAAAGGAAGAGGTCGACGGTCAACCCACTGGGCAACAGAGATGCATGGACTTCCGGAGGTCCGCATTTCTCAACTCTGGTTTGATGGCGCGGGAAATTACACACTCTCAGACTAACATGGAAGCTCCCAGAAGGCCTCTGTAAATGGAACCAAGTCTTCCAAAGAGGTCTTGGGATCTTCCATGTTAGCCTAGGGGAGGGTAAAAGAAAAGGGGGACAAACAAAAGAAGAAAAAACACAAGAAAACACAAGAGAAAAACAACGCAAACACCAAAAAAAAACGCTCGGCGCGCGATATCAGACGTTTGTCTCCTGCTGGATCTGCTGCGGCGTCTTCAACTCCGCCTTGGCTTCGGTGCCCGCGGCCACCGTGTCCAGCTTCGCGCGCTTCTTGAGGGCCCGTTTCCTCTGGCCGGACGGAGTGCCAAAACTGCCCGGGGGGGGGGGGGGTTAGGGTTTAGGGTTTAGGGTTTAGGGGTTAGGGTTTGGGGTTTAGGGTTTGGGGTTTAGGGTTTGGGGTTTAGGGTTTGGGGTTTGGGGTTTAGAGTTTAGGGTTTAGGGGGGGTTGAAAAAAGGGGGGACCCGAGCCTTCTCAGGGAACCATGCCTGCTCAATGCTTTTTGGCCCATTCGGTGCCCATGTCGTTTGGATCCCGTTTTTTTTTTTTTTTTTTTTTTTTTTAAATCACGTCTCGAAGCGCGAAAAAGGGTTCTCCTCTTCCAGCCCATGGGCCAAGAGCGTGAGAAGAGAAACGACTAAAGCGAGAGACAACTAAATATCTAAGCCTAAAGTTGCGACCATGACTTCAAACGAACAGTCTCGCTCATTGCAGGTTGACAGCAAAACTGCCAACTAAAGGCCAACTGTAGGTGTGGGGAAGCGCTTTGCTGCTTCAGTAAGCTCCAGTGAACCACGACGAAGGTGGCAAGGTACACCCAAATCGGGGACTCTTGCTGTGCCGCGGAAAAGTCAAGTGCCTATCGCAGGAAGGTTCCCAACTCTGGAAAAGAAGGGAACAAGTCAGGCGATCCCATTCGCTTAGAGACAATGGTAAAGCTAGAGGCTCATGGATCAAGCAAACTCGCTTCCGTGAATCGCCATGAACAGTTCCAAAGTTGTGCATGTCTGACTAAACTCAAGGGTCTGGCCCCCACCCCGGGCCTTGCCCAGGGCACCAAGCCTTCAAAAAACGCTTCTTCAATGGTGTTGCCAAAGAGTTCCAAAGTCCGAATGTGCCTTGCTTGCGTGACTCCCAAATGAATCCGCCAAGCCACAAAAACAAACATTGAAACCAACCAAGCAAGCAAGCAAGCAACCAACCAATCAACCGACCGACCGACCGAGCGACGGAGCGATCAACCAAAGGCACATCCAAACAACCCACTAAACAACGAACCAGCACACACAAACTAATTACATCACATTGTATTATATCAATTACATTGCATTACATTTCTGAATGCAACAGGCATTTCATTGCAATACAGGCAATACATGCAGTCTTTTTTGTGCAAAAGGAACAACATTCAGTTCATTGCATTGCATTGCAATGCACTGTAAAAGACATAGCGTTCGCTTCATTGCTTATCGTTATTGTTACAATGCACTGCAACGCAACAGGCATTTCATAACATTGCAAAGCATTGCAGTGTGTCCGACACATTGTGGTATCCTGGAGATTCAAACACCCAGAAATTTCTGGGCGTTTTGGGTAATGGGTACGATTGGAGGAAAACTGGGGGTTCTAGTACGAACCGCTGGAAAACTAGTACGAAGGCCGGCGTCTAACGTGCTGCTGGCCGTTTGGGAGGATATTTGAGCCAACAAGATCTGACCTCATATCAATATATAGTTTCCTTTCTCAGTGCTTGCATTTCCCGTTGCAAGCATGACCCTACATCGGTGCCCAATCAGGGCATGCTTTTGAGCGGGCAGTGCATGAAACAACCAATTGATCCACTTTTTGGGATTTGCGCTCGTTTGCGGGTTTTTGCGGGCGTTTTGCGGGTTTTTGCGCTCGTTTTGCGGCCAAAAGTGGTACGAACAAAGTGCGTTTCTCACTCGAAGCATGTTTAGACAAGACTTGCTCCGATTTGCGCACCACTCCCCCGCACAGCTAGGATTGAAGGGTGTTGATGGAGGGAAGGATTCGAAGTGGTTAGAAGTTTCTGAAGATTCGAACATCTGGTGTAGTGGGCAATATCAAGCTGAATGAGAGAGAAAGCCCTGTGCAAGAAGGAAACACCCAATAATTCAAATTTCTAGGCGTCTTAGTCGTTTTGCGGTAAATACGATACGAAACAGGCAAAAGCAATACAATGACCAAAACACCTACTTTTTTCTAGTCGTTTGAAGCTGCAGGATCACATCAATCTCCAACCAGTACGACGACCCAGCCAACTTAGCCCCCTGGAAACAAATACTTTCAGTACTGATAGATTCCCTTAAAAAAATGGAAGTAGGCTCCAAGAAACAAACCAAGCAACCAGTGCATAGCGATACCAACACGACCGAGCTGCTGCTTGTGGGTCAAGAATTCCTCCGAGACAGTGCCATGGAATGGCACCACAGGCTTCCTCGTTCGAGCGGCTTCGACCAAGCCCAAGAACCCAATGATGGCGTGTTTTTCTTTCTAGGGGACCCACCCTTCCCTCGCGGAATTCCCTTTCATACCAACCAAAAGGGGTACCCAAACAAAAGGCCATACACTACGAATATCACCCATCTCCCTGAGGAAAAGAAGTTGATCCCTACAAATCCATGGACAGCATTCTGCATTCTCCCATTTTGCCTGGGCGTGGCTGGGCACACGACTCACACTGGGGCTTCCAAAGGCTGCATTTCCAAAGGTTGACGTTGGGAAGGGGAGCAAACATTTAAAAAGTTTAGCCAGTTCAGTGGATTCGGATTTCAACCACTAAACCACCAGAAGCGAAAAATGTGCAACATGTTTCCCAACAACAACTATCTTCTAGGTTGTTCTCTGACCCAGAAGCCAAACTTCCCCAGGTTGGCGCAACCAGAAGACAACATATCCAGCAGTTGCGATAAATTCCGTCCCTCTCGCTAAACGCGAGAGGGACAATTCTCACATCACATCAACCAACTGGACATGTACCAGCTACAACCATGACCATATCCATTTAACACCAGCTAAGGAAAACATACTCTTGAGCAAATGGACATGGGATAAGATATCCTCCTTGGACAACGAAAATGAGATTGCAAGTTGCGAGACGGCTTCTTGACTTGCAGCCATGTTCGCCGCAGACTCCTTTCTATCAACAACTCACTGGTCAAAAATGCCTGAAACAAAAGCTAATGGCTACTCGGTGCAATGCCAGTGAGAGAAGTGCATACCTTCAAGAGTCATATACACGATTCACAGGTCTGAACAGGGAAGTCCTGAAAAGAGCACAGCATTTGCCCAAATACAGCTATCATTCGAGATTATATATCGTTCATACTCTTCACTCAGGTGATAATATTTTACTCATTCAGGTCAATATTGACTAATAATCTCTTCCCCCTATTAATAAATACGCCCCCCCTATTATAAATTAATAAATCCCCAAACATTTTTATTTTTTTTAATTGGGTTTTTTGGGGTTGGGTTTTTTCTGCTTTTCCGACAATGTGAGGGTTCACATAGGATTTGGAGGAAATGGATTGAATTGTAAGCTCTGCGAGGAAGCGGTTTAATAAGGAAATTTGATGTATCATTCAATTTGTTTTTTAGTTTACTGGTTGTTTGTTTGCAGCCAGGCAGGTTAATTAGCCAGCATGTAATTACGGGAGAGAGACAGTCGCAGCTAGACAGCTTTTGGGGACATGTTTGCTTTTGAGGGACACCCCAATAATTAAAGGACCCAATTACAAAAAAACAGAGCTCTGCCCAGGCAGCCAGACCAGACAGACCGCAGCCAGGTGACAAACGCAGCCAGCCAGGGAGTCAGGGACAGCCAGGGACAACAGAGTCAAGAACAACCTTTTGGGGAACCCACCAAAAGAACCCAACCTTTTGAGAAGCCAGCTTTTGGGGAAGCAACCTTTTGGGGAATTGAGGAACCCACCTTTTGAAAAGTGAGGCTGGAAGCTTGCTAAAAGTGCCCCCTAATAAGGATTCCAAGACTTTAGTATTGGTTTAGTATTGGCGCAATGGAAAATCAATTGTGTGGAGTGGAAATCTGGTCTCGGGCCCCGGATTTGCATTTATTATTAATGGGGGTCATTCATTAATAGGGGGAGGAGATTAGACATCTTGGCATCCCATTCTACGGCCGCAGAATACTCCACCAAACCCCACCAAACCCCACCAAACCCCACCAACCCCCCCACCAAACCCCACCAACCCCCCGAGCAAACGGCTTGCCCCGCCCCGCGAAACCCCGCGCCTGGCCGTCTCCACCTCGCCCTCGGCGTCGAAGTCCACGACCCTGGCCTGGGACTTCTGCAACTTCCCCAGCGGATCCGCTGAGGCGTCCTGGCAAAACTTTTCCTCGAGGGCTTGATTCCAACACCCAGATGGTTTCCACCCTCAACGCACTACTCCCAATGATTACTCTAGGGGTTGACTTTCAACCATGGTTCTGTTCAAAAACCGAATCTGTTTCCAACCTGGGTTTTTAAGATGGTTTCCTGAAAAGAACGATCCCTGGAAAGAATGGGGAAGGTACCCCTAGATTTCCACACTCCATCAGACGAGTCAAACGAAAAGCAGAAATTGGCACGTTGATGCTGCCCGGACAAGGGGACGAGTCAAACAGAAAGCAGAAATTGGCACGTTGATGCTGCCAGGACAAGGGGACGAGTCAAACAAAAAGCAGAAATCGGCACGTTGACCCCCCACTTGTGCCTTGGCTTCCGGTGTTTTGAGCCTGCATACCCCAGGAAGTTTCTTGAACACTTGGCGTGCGATGCTTGTGGAGATCATGGGAACCCAATCCCGATGGAAAGCGGCCTGAGGGGGTCTTCCTCCAACAATGTAATTGAGGCCGCCATGATGGGACATCCGGAAAATGACATGAAGCTCTCCGTCTGTTTGTAGCCTCCTGAAGGACAAATTCATATTCTGAATACTGTATTATACTTTATGAATTCCGTGCTAGTCAGCATCGAGAATTAGGACCCCCATTTCAGTCAACCATTCCACCTCCCCCAAAAAAATAATAAATAAGTAAACAAATATAAGTAAAAAAAACAATCCGTCAATCAATCAAAAAAATAAACAAACAACATCGAACAAACAACTAACCAGCAAATATGTTTGCTCAAACCACGGTTGTCATAGGGCAACAAAGGGATGTGTTATTATGTTAAATTGACACATCCCAAATGTCGCCCGCTGCACTTCTGGTCCTCCACCTCCCCCACCTTCTGGATCCGCCGCTTGGTGGCCTTGGACCACTTCTCGTAGATCTTGCTCTTCCTAGGCATCGAGCCGCCCAGGAGTGCCTCCCCACCATCCGGACACCTCGCCCGAAACGGATGCAACCTGCCCCCACCGGATGCAACGCATGCGACATCCCAACAGACTCGAAAACAACATTGAGAGGCGCAGAATTCAGAGGAGAGACTCTTACATTCATACCTACTGATGGGCGGCACAAGTCAGATTCAGCAAAATCATCGGTCTACACACGCAACCATATTTCAATATTTGGACACAGCGCTTCAAGACTCTCGTGCTCTCATCAATATCTTTACATGCATTGGACATTGCTCAGTAAGATATGTCGGTTGGTTGGCATCCCAGGATGTGCGACACAGGCTAGATTCGAGTCAACAAGGATGGTCAAACAAAGGTAATGTTCAAACTCTCCGAGAGGAACATATGGGGGTTGATCAGAAGGTCTGGTAAACTTGGGATGACCATTGGTTGGAAGGCCACTAAAAAGATGATATTTCAACCACATGGGTAAAGTTACCCTGGTCAACCTGGGGGCCGTAAATGGAAGATTTATCAACTCCCATCTTGGAGATAAGAAGCCGGCAGAACTTTCTCGTGAAACGTAGAGATTCTCCAAAACCGCCATTTTTGCTTAGGACAAATGAAAAAACACATTTTCAGCAGTGATAGATCCCCTTAAAACAATAATAAACAAACATTAAACAGAAAAGGGCAAATGGAGGAAAAGGGTTGGCTCCCTTTTGAACCTCCTTTGCACCCATCTACCCGGAGCCGGAGCCGTCTGATCGGCTAGCTCTGATTTGGCTAGCCCCGAGCGTCTCGCCGTCGCCCTTCACCTTCTTCCCGCTCTCGTTCCGGCGCTGTCCCTTCAGGGCCTTGCCGTCGGCGGTGACCATGGTCGGCAAATACTTCTTGCGCTTGGCGTCCCAGCGCATCACGCTCTTGGCCTTCTTGATGTCCTTAGATTCTTCCAGAAAAAAAGTGGGACAAACTGGGGTTGAAACAAAAATGTGTGCTTAGACGACCCAGAACAAACGAGATCAACCTGCGGCAGAAAACCCAAAACAAGCATGAACCGAATGCCTTTCTTGGGTTGTTAGTATGACACTTGAGACTACACCTTGGGACATATACCTCCGCAACAACAATTTTGTCTGGAAAGCCCAAATTCATCAATTGTCCAGGCTGCGTAACGCCTGCCATAAAAAACGCCCGACGCTTCACGAGAAGAGAAAATGGGAACTCCATTTGAGAAATGACAAGTCGATACCAATACGCAACGAAATCAGGCGCCAAGAAAGCGACTTTCGCGGGTGCAGGTCACCTCCCGCCTTGTGCGATGTCTTTCGTGCTCTTGAGGTAGCACCCAGAACAGCGCTGGATGAGTTGCGAGTCCCTCGACCATGAGTTACGCAAAACGCGTGGCAGCCCTTGATCTTTGTCCTTGCGCTCACACGCAAGCCCTTGCGCATCCTTCGTGGACAAGCGGTCCATGTGTACTTTTGGCAGTCAAAGGTGGGGAGTATCAAAAACCGCATTCGCTCTATCTTTCAGCCCCTGCGCTGTGCTTCAAGTTGTGTGCCTAGGGAGGGTCGGCTAGGCTAAAATCATGATAGGCGAAGGATTCCCTCGAGCACACGTGTAGCATACGAAGTACACTATGGCGGCTCCAGCTCGAGAATCGCAACTTTTCACAGCAGGACAAACAAGTCCCAAAGGGCAGCAAAGTTGCCGCAAAAAATACTTGCGCCAGCCTGCTGCCAAGCAAATGTTTGCTTATACATACGCATGCGTCCAAGTCTTGTCCCGGACCTTACAGAAGAAAGAACATAGTTGCTCAAAAGAAGGTCAAACTTCGTGAGATCGCCTTTACGCGCCTTCTTGCGCGTCCCGCACAAACATGATGCAAAACACAGGTACACCCACCGAAAGATCCTTCCTGACGAATCTTAGGCCAGGGTTTTGGATGAAACCCAACTCCCCACTAGACCATACTCGGGGATGCCGCAAAAAGAGGGCCCCTGGGGGGCCTGTTGAGCTGCCAAAGTAACAGCTGAGACGCCGTTGAGTCGTCAGGCAGGAGGTCCATTTGGTACTGCTCCATCTCAAAGCCTTTCCTCAATAGCGCAAAACCAGATGAAGTAATCAACCGAACATCCCCCTAGCAAGGAAACTTGAGCACCCGCTCTGATTGTTCCAGGGCAAACCCAGCCCCCCAACAAAACGGCACACATTGGGTGACTTTTTGAAAAAAAAGATGGCCCTGGTAAAAATGGCTCACAAAACCCATTTAAAGCCGCGGAACCCATCTATGTCTAACCAAGCCAACGTAAAACGGCCACCTATGACGAGATGGTCCTGGTACACGGCATACAACCCATGTAATTAAACCGGTGCCATCGATTCATGCCGGCAAAGAGGTGGTTGACGAAGGGGGACACGACTAAGGGACACAACCTAAAAAGGCCACCTATGACCAGATGGTCCTGGTAAATGGCTCGAACCCGGTGAAGCCCATCTAGTTCTACCCAAATCAACGAGGAAGAGGGTGGACTCTGTAGGCAGCTGGGCTTCTCTCTAGCCTCAGCTTGAAGGTCCACGGCGGTGCTGAGATAGAACCTCAGATGACACTGGTTGAAGCAAACGGGGTCACCAAATGGGGGCCTGGGAGAAAATGGAGAACACATAAATGGCAAGAGCAAAAGGTCAAGCGCAAATCCTTCTTTTAAACCCTGACTCAGAAAAGGAACCTAAACAAAAAGGTTGTGTTGGGAAAGTGACATTGAGTTCAGGGTCTAGCGACCTACCCAAGACGAGCCCAAAAGGGAAAAAACACAACAGGCAGATTTGGTTGTTTCGATTTGGATGCAACTGAGCCACTGTTCCCCTTCCCCTCGCTTCGGCTTGGCATCACCACCTGAGATGCGGATGTCGAAGTCTGCGTCATCCGCCTCGACGCCCTCCTTCCTTGCGGATTGCAACGTGCATAGTCTGGGCTTAGCCAAACACCGAGAAACTGTAGGTCCACTTGTACAAAATGAGTTCCCTGTTTTGAGGCAGACCGGACCTATTCGTCAAAGTCAACCGAGCACCCCAAACGCATGCTTAAAAGAGGGAGGCCGAACCCAGCCTGCCAAACCTGCCAAGGGCTTTCGCCAAGTTCCTGAAGCCTCCAAAAACCTAAAGAGACCGGCTGACCTGAATTCAGGGTCACAAACGACATGGACACGCCAAAGAGGGATAGAGGGATGTGTACCCCAATCAAAATAGAGGAGGAGCACAGAAGTTCAGGGGGTTTGCCGAGTCAAAATCTGGGCTTGCCCCTTTCCATTAACGTCCTTGGACAAAGGCCTTGGCTCATTTCCCCAAAGGGCCTGGAAACAACAGCTTTACCTGTCCCTGAGCTAAAAGTAGGCAAGGGAAATAACCACAAGGTCAAAAGATTGGATGTGGCAACTGGAGCTCAGGGCAACCCAAAAGAGATTTGCACCTGAGAGAGCTTCCCATCTCAGTGCACAACCTCAGCCCAATTCTTGACTGACTTGTCCAAAAGACCGTAGAATTCAAGGATGATTGCCTTTTGAAACACCAAAGCTCAGATTGGGCCAATTGGAATCTGACTGCTACATCTAATTGCCCCATGGGGAAACTCCTGATGGGCACTTCGTGGAACTCAAGCGAACAAAGGCAAACAAAGAAAATGGTGTCCATGAACCATCGGGAAACAGCAGGAGGACAAGCACGGGCCCCAAAGTCGGGAGCGACATAAACAAGTGCAAGTCTGATGACTGTTGCGTGGCCGCGTGGTATTTGCAATTATGGGTTTGTCCCCACACGGGCAACAAAGGAATCCACCCCATGAATTTGAGGTAATAACCCAAGTAGAAAAAATTGAGGGTCCAGGAAAGACATCGACTATCCTATCAACGCAACAGGTCAGGTTCTAAAGGCAACCCAATCCCCAAGATATTTTGAAAGAAGGGAGCGAAAACATCCGGTCGCCGCTCTTGCCAGGTCTCAGCATCTTCCGAGCCTTCTTGGACAGCCGCGGCTTATCCCTCGGCTTCGCCTTTGGCACTCTTTTGCCCTTCGGCTTGGCAGCGAGCTCAAGCTCCTGCGGAGAATATGTGCCATGACAATGATCCAAACTCTGCTAATGTTGACCCCGGATTAATAAACCCCTGGTTGATTAATTGGGGGTGTCCCCTTTTAGTGGGGATTCATCACTTTCGGAGGGAACACCCTCCCAATAATGGGACGGGTTTATTAATCCTGGGTCAACATTGCTGGTGGGCCATGTTATATGAGTTGTGGTCGCGCTGAGAAGAACCAGTTGTCTGACAGGCCTATTCGGGCCAATAAACAAAATTAAGCATGGCTTGTTCGGCCGAACCAAACCCGCTCCGCGACAACTGTTCAACATTGCTGCGCAACCCTCGGTTGGGATCTGCACGGTCTATGCGCAAGAAAAACGTTTTGCAATTGTTCAACATTACTGCACGAGCCTTTGCGTCGAGATATGTGTTTTGTAGCCTTTCAACATCGGAGAGAAACTTGTACACAGAACTTGCACTGAGAAACATTTACTGGCAAAAATACACAGAGAAACTAGCTTCGCAAACTTGCACAGACAAACGCGCATAGAGAAGCTTGCACAGGAGAAAAATCCAAGACAACTTGAAGTTGCACATACAAACTTGCATGGAGAACTTGCGCGAAGACACTTGCACGGAGAACTCGCACAGAGACAACGTGTTATGGATGCGCACAGAAAAAAAAAAAACAAACACGCCTTGCACAAAGAAGAACAACCGCAGAAACAAACTTGCAACTTGCACAGAAAAAACTGACACAAAACAAATTCGCACAAAGAACTTGCAGAGAGAACTTGCGCCTCAGCTTTTGGTGGGCGTGTGGATGGACCGATATCATTACCAGATGACCCATGCTAAGTCCACGTCCGTTTTCCGTTTGGTGTTTCTTCAAAGACCACCAAACGTCCTTCCTCCCCCTCCAAGAAAAAAAACGTTTAGCATCGTTTAGCGTTTAGTGTTTTATCAAAAACCACCAAACCAAAAACCGGCAAACAACCCAAACAAGGGGTCCTTAAAACAAAAGGAGGGATCCTTACATTATACACCTGAACATTGCCTTGTAAATTGTGGTTTCCCTTTATTTTGGTGGAAAAAGCCATGTTTCCAATGGTTGCAAAATGTATCTTTTAAGGAGCCCTGAAAAAGACACGGCCCTTTCTCTGCCTCTCCGTCCTCTGCCTCGGCCGAATGCGCGTCACAAGCTTCGCCGGCGCTCTGTCGAACCTCTGAAACGGCCGCCGCATCCAGCTTCGCCTGCCGGCGACCGAAAACTGCGCTGGGAAGTGGTTTGACTGACATGGCCATGGGTCAAAATCCAGTACCCCCAGTGGACATCCGATTCAATCCCCACAGATTTCCAGACCGCAGGTTTCGTCACCAGGCCATGGGTCGTACCCCCAGTGAACATCCCAACTAAAATGGGTGATCAGCATCATGATGCATCTACCCCAAAATGGTACCATTGGTGTTGACGCAAAGAAAACATACTGTGGATGGACGAACTCCATTTCGCACCACCTGCGAAACCCTGGAATGATGATTCCCCTCTAAATACCAACCAACAATGGTTTCGCATGGTTTCAAAGTGGTGTAGGATTTCGTCCGTCCACAGTAGCTTTGAACGACCTGACGTTAAAGGTTTTGAGCCGGCAGCAGAAACCTGCCAGGTGGAGCAACTTGGTCATGGTCCCTCAGCGGAAATCATTGTACTGGTAATTTAGTTTTTTTCTTTAGTATAGGTGGATGAGCGCCCCAGTCAACCCCGAGCAAAGGGCTCTTTTAACCATTGCACATCTGGCAGCCTGTTCCATGGTGCGCATGGCGTTCACGGACAAAACGTTGCCCAGCTTCTCGATCTTCGGGCGGAAGCCTGACGCAGAACACGTGCTCCATGAGCACACAGAATTGAGGGAAACACACACACACACAAAACAGGGATCCTTACATTATACACCTGAACATTGCCTTGTCAGTGGTGGTTTCCCCTGTATTTTGGTGGAACAAACCATGTTTCAGATGGGCAAAATGTATCTTTTAAGGAGCCCTGCAACATGAAGGTTGATTGGGGGTACCGCTTCAAGATGCATGTGGTGGGGCGAGAGAGAACTGGAATACCAGTACCACCTTATCAGCAAACCTGGCCCATGTATCCAGAGTTCCCTGGAGAGATGTTGCAGCGATTCCTTCCTTTGAAGCACATCTCAGTTGTTCAGTGACCCTGGAAAAAAGGGAACCCTTTTTTGGGGAAGACCATTTTAGTGGGGCAGCCACCAAAAAAAAGAGAAAAAGGGTGCCACTGAACAACTCAGACATGCAAGTTCATGCTAGCGGACACCAGCTGGTTTCACGGAAACAGGCCCTGAAAGCATCTTTTCCATGCCGCCTTGCCAGAGGAAACACAAGAGCCACGCTTAAATCTTGATCTGGCAGGTCAGCAGAGTCTCGGTCGGTGGCCTTTGGCTTGTCGGACTCCCTGAGCTCACCATGAACTCTGCCAACACTCGCGCCTTTCGCTTGTTCTGTTTTGCTTATAGTCGTGTTGTCTACAATGCTGTCAACACTTGCTGGTCGAGAGTCCAACTGTATCACAACCATGGCGCCTCCACTAAGAGCCTAAGTAGAAAACCCTAAGCCCTATGCCTTGACCAGGCTGAAACCCATCCATCCTCTAAACCAACTCTTAAAACCGGAACCAAAGAAAACGGAACCAACTTGACCTAAACCAATCCATCCGAACCAACTCTCAAAACCGGACCGCCCCAAAAAAGAACGAAATTAACTTCTCGCCTCGAAGGGTGCGGACATACTCGGAGTTCTCCAAGGTGCCGGGCTGGGAGGTCTGCTTGCCTGGCCCGCCCCCCACCCCACCCCACGCCTCGGGCTAACCCTCCCTGTACCCATCCTCTCACAAACGCAGCACCCCCTACGGGCACCTGGAAGATACACTTCCCCTGGGAGTCAATCCACCATCAAAACAATGGGGGCTCATAGAACTTTCCATTGTTTACCCAAGGATTATTATCATCCAAATTGGGTCAACCTTTCTTTCAATGGGGGTTGAAGCCTAGGGTTTCCTCTTCAAGGGGTCCCCTGTCAGGTGCCTAGGTGCAATGGCAACATGGGAGAAACAGCTGGTTTGGCTACTATCCAGAAGTTCAGTCACTGGTGAGACAACAATGTCCCTTGTTAAAACCACTACAGCGGTCACCCTCAGTTGGTCCAATCAGCCCCCGCAACACTTGCATGCTGCTACTTCATGAGAAACTTTGGGATTTCCCAAAAGGCCGAACCTACCCTTCCTCCAAGCACCTGCCGGAGACTACCTAAAACATCAGTTTCCTCTCAATAAGCCCCCCCTCCCCAGGTGAGTCACAATCAAAACCCGGTATTAAAATGTTCGACCCGGAACCATGCAGAGAATTAAGAAGGCGGATATCCCCAGCTATTTATGGTCCGGCTTGCCCCCTACTAACCTTCATCTGCCCGGGTTTTGAGCAGGTGGCTCAGGTGCCATGCTAGAGGGAGGGCATCCTGAGGGCCATCGAGCGCTTTTCCCGCGAGACCCTCCGATGTGCCTCGGAAGGCGGGGTGCAGCATGGACTGCAGCTGGGCAGGTCCTCCGCACTCCTCCAGCAGCTCCTGGGAGACAGGGGATCCTTCTCTTGAAGGGCCCCCCCCTAAAAAAATAAAACACACGGCGGTTTTTCTGTTGGTTCCCCAGTTCCCCCCCCAAGAAAAACAAATGGCGGTTTCCGGTTGGTTCCCCCCCCCAAGAAAAACAAATGGTGGCTTTCCTGCTGGTTCCCCCAACACATAAAACAAAAGGCGGTTTTCCTGATGGTTTTCCTGCAAAGCCACCAAAGAAAGGGGCTCCCCCAAAATGAGACCAGCCACCTAAAACAGCATCTGTTTTGGAGGGCCCTTGGGTTGGTTTGGAGCCATCTCAAACCCAGAAACTCGACTAAAGAGAGAAGCCCCCCCGAAAAAGCAGATTTAGCCCGGACCTGCGCAACAAAAAACAGGGACGCCAGTTTCCTTTCCTTTCCGTTTCTTCGCTCCCTCGAAGGGAGCAACCCCAATCCACTTGAACAGGCACTAGAGCAGCTCAACGGAGCTGGCTGGTTGAAACTGAAACCATCCAACCTCTATGGAAAACTCGAATTCGTTGGCAAAGGATATCAAATGGATCGAGTAACCTTCAAGCAGGAAAACACACACCACATTATTGCTTCTTGCAAAGCCCGAATGGTTTGAAGGTTGAACCAAAGAGCGGCCAACTCAAGCTTCGATTCCGTTTCACGGTTTCACGAACAACTGAGCCTTCAACAGCAGTGGTTGAAGCCGGAATGACAGTGACAGGTAGTGAAGCAACCACATCTCGTCACACAACCCCTAGTACATGCGGTAAATGCAAAGACTATATAATATCCGCCGCCTTTTGCCAGGGTTAGTGCGCTTGCTCTATGTGTCGATGGCACAGCAGCTACCGTCCTTGGCCCTTCGCACCGAGGACTTTGAAGCTGAAGGCCGAGTCTTGTTGTACCTCGGAGGTCCGGCCATCTCCTCATGCGACCGCCCATTCTCCAAGCTACAAACTGGAAATGTCATGGAAATGTCAAAATGCAAACATGGACCATGGAAAAGCAAACATGGAAAATCGAAATGTTGCACGCAAACTGGAAAAGCAGACATCAACTGCAAGCTGGGCACTCCATTCTTTCATGGCCACCCATCTTGCATGTCTCCTCCCAATCGCTCAGCAATGAATTAAACCCTGCAACTTGTTGGATCTTGGTTGAAGTAGTCTTGCCAGGATTCGCCGAAAAGGTTAACAGTTCGGGCTTGGAGAAGCAAGCACCTTCCCTTGGTGCGGGTTGATTTGACTCATGACATGTTGCAGCTATGTCTGCGTGACCGCTTCCACTCGGAAATAAGCATGACACATTGCGATGTTGAAATAAACGATCCCGGACGGCTTCCCCACAGGAGGACTGAAAGCAACTCCTTCCATCGGGTCCCAACACATTCTCTCACCTGGGCTGTTCAAAATGGAGGGTTGGCCATGCCATAGCCCAGACTTCCAACTCGGAAATCATAATGTGAAATGCTTTCATAACCCAAGGATTGGATCCAGCGACGGGAATCGAACAGTCCAACATCTCACTTGCAGCTGGCTGGCAGGTTGTACGAAGCCATCCTTAGCTGCTCATTGGCGGACAAAAAAAGAGCAAATACATTGGTTTTGTCAAAAGAGCTCATGTTTACCCTCCCACCAATTAACATGGAACCTGACGTTCCGGGTTCCTGGAAGACCACTTTCCTTTAAAGGGACCCCCTGTCAGGTTCCATGTTAATTGGTGGGAGTTTAAACCATCTTCAAAGAGAACATCTAGGGATCCAATTACAAACGGCTCTGACTTTTGACGGACTCTCAACCGATTCTAACTTTGCACCTTTAAAACAGTCTTTCCAAGGTTCAAAAGGCTACAATCAGAGCGGGAGAAACAAGCAAAGCATCAGCAGGCTGGTTGGAAATGCCAGGCGTCATTGACCTGTGCAGGCTCGAGAGCAGAGACCCTTCATCTGCCATCACACTGCTCAAAGCCTCCACTTCATGATCCAGCGCGGGAAGAGCACCGATCACCGGCGTCTTGCCGCGCGCCTGGTGGCAAACAAAACCAATGGAGGTGTGTGGTTCTTTGCGGTGGGCTGGTGTTTCGGACAAAGGTTGTTGTTTGAGGGAAAGGTTGTTGTTTGGAAGGAAGATGGCTGTTTGGAAATATGTGATGAGACATGCTTGAGCAGCTTGCAAAATGGGGCCAGGCTCGCCGAAACGACCCCTAATTTGTTGCGTCAGGCTTGCCACATTGACTCCAAAAACAAAGTGGCAACGGGAGCCCAACTAGCCCCTCAGCATGCCCGAATGCTCCATGTGGTTTCTTTTGCTGAAGTTACCTCCCGACAGGAAATGTCGGAAAACTTAGGCAACTTGCGAGAAATCGATCACTTGTAATGAGGCAGGTGAATCCGCTTCCCCGCTCCGAGCACCTTTTGAGGGAAACACGCATGGAGGATGGACTGCGGGGTTTTCCAGGCATCCCTTTTGCGGTGAGGGAAGGTGCGATGAGCTTCAGGTAAGGGCAAAAACTGCCAAGGGGCTAGAGAAAAGCTAAAGACCAGCACCCCCCCAACAACTTCCTCCCAAGTGTCCACAAAAGCAGTTGGCTGGTGCTAAGGGACATATTCTCGCCCCAAGAGAGTTCTGTGAAAGGAACCTTAGGCCTGAGGTTGCAAACCTTTGCGCGAGAGTAGTTACGAATTTCCCCAGATGCATTACATTTAAGCCTTCCTGAAAGGCAGACCGAGAGATACCGTAAGACAACACAACAAAAGAGGTCTGTTTTTGGGGCAGGTGATACACACAACTGTACCTGCGCCATCGCAAGCGCCTCCTCATTCGCGTCACTCCCGTTGGCTTTGGAGGGCGGCACGAGCTTGTGGCCCAGAAAGGTCATCCTTGGACCGCGAAACAAACGGTGAGTCACAATCAAACCTGGTACATTGAATGGTGTAGCCAAACCAATGTAAAGAACTACAATGGCGGCCGCAACGAACTCTGGCTGGGACTGTCCCTGACTAACCTTCTTGATTATGGCTCAGGTGACCAGCTTCTGGGCACCTCAGGACTCAACCAGGATGCTGAGGGTTGACTTGTGCTTCATCTCAGGTGACAAGAAGTTGCCCAAGCTCATGCTGGCAATCGGGGCAGGTTGCAGCTTTCTCTATGGAACCGCCTGGGAAAAGTCACAGAAATGTATCACAAGGATGTCCCTTAGCTTCCCAGGACCAAGGCGAGTTTTTCGGCACCCGGGAAAAGCTCGTGCTGGGGCACGCCATGGTTCTCAGTTTTCAACTTGTACCGGTGGCAAATTGGGAAGCTGCAAAACACGCGACGAAAAGCGACCGACGTGACTCACTCGTGGCTTTGTGAAAGTTATGGACATCCGGGTGATTCCGGATGCGTGAAAACCTTTTTTGCGCACTTGCTGAGAGGCCATTGAGAGAAAC